ATCCGTAAGTGATGAGTTTTTCATTCTCAATAAGTTCGAATTCGTGATTTCTAAATAGAACACATAAAGTTTAACTCGTAAACTACTGTATTATTAATTTTAATAATTTATTTATTAAAAAAAGAAGGTAGTTTATACATTATTGAAGAGCTAAAGTATATAATTACTTGGAAATTTGAACTGTTGTGAAGAATTCATTTTGAGAAGATTCAAAGAGGGAATTTCCAATCCTTGATTGAATTTACAAAGTTGTTTTGTGGTTAAACTAAATATTGGCAGTATCTCTTTTCATTTCCTAATTAAATTACTTTTTATAATTCTTATTATTATGTGCAAGAAAGGTGTGCTAGTAATGGTGGGGACTCTATGGTTTTGTTGTGGACAAAAATAAGGTAGGTCTTTGTGAATTTATGTTGTGTTTTCTTTTTCAAGAATGTCTTTTTCAGTGGGTCACTTCCATATTTGCATAAGAGAAAAAAAATCTCTCTCAATAAATCAATTAATCAAACTTTTAGATTGTGGGTTTGCTTTGAATTGCTGCCCCAACCCCTCTTCCCCCCCCCCAAGAAAAGAATTTTTTTCTTTCTCCTATCATTCCATTTTGTGGAGGTGCAAATAGGGTTGGATGTGATTAATGATAGCAACATGATTAATTAATCTAATTGGAGTTTATGTGATTCTCAAAGTTAATAATAAGTTTAACTTTCTGATCTTTTGGGTTATATGCATTATTTCTTTCCCATCTTAATCGAAGAACAGTAAGAGAGATTTCCTTAAAGCAAGGCACTTAATGTAAATCAAATCTGATTTAACCCACTAGCAGGCTTCACTCATCTTTTTAGGGGGGAGGACTGAGTTGGGGGAGTAGGGGGATCATGGCCCTTTGACTTCCATTTTACATGGAATGTCATATGTATATATATCCATGTAATATGAATGTATATATATGTGTGTGTGTATAATATGTCTTGCATTTTCAAAATTTGTAGTAGTTTGATAATTCATAAAGCTTAACTATGCCCTAGAGATCAGAGATCAAAGACAACACTTCCACCAAATTTGATTTCACTTAATTGCATTTAATCTATGCAAGTTTTTGTACGAAAATTCAATAACTTACAATTTATTTTTTATTGTTTTTAAATAATTTTATTATTTTTAAAGCATATTTTCACATATTCAAAATTTTAAACAAAACTAAATAAATTAGATGTCAAATAAATAAATCAAATAACAAGATAATATCAGACTAATCATTTATGTATATTAACAAAAATTCAAATGAAAGCTAAACTGTTACCAAAGTTACAAAAAGTAGATTGTAATAAAATCAAACCACAATAGTTAAAGTCATTACATACAGGTGTCTGACTACTGGCTACAATATCTTTGAGTATTGATAAACACAGTAGGAGTAGGTCTCCTGCCGGACTTCATCCCTGTAAAAATGACAATACCTCTTATATAAGATGAATACGAATACCATAAGAATATATTCTTAACATCTTTTAACATATATACCCAATTACAATACTATAGAATTATCTTTTCTTATTTATAAACAGTTGGATCAATTACTAATTCATTGTCGCTACTGTAATTAAAAAAATTAAACTATCATGGAATGTTTTTTTGTATTATATCTCGTAATAACAAATTCTAATTTGATCATTACAATCTTAACAACATAAATGTACTTTGTCTGCTGTATCGAGCATCATAGAGTGATAATAACCGTGCTAGTGATACTAAAGATGTATCTTAGTATTTTCCATGATGGGTAGGAATATGAGATTAATGGTGAGTTATGTTACTCTTGATGAGGTGGAGCCTCCCCATTCAAGATAATAATAAGAATAATAACAATAATAATAATTAAAAAGAATTATTATTATTATTATTACTACAAAATTCTAAAAAGAATTATTAAAATCTACTGTTGAGGGACTGATAATAATAAAATAACAGTTGGATTTAAAAGACATCTTAAAGTTTTCCAAGCTTTATTTGTAGGTTGCATGGTCAAAATCCAACTAAAAGCAAGCCTATGATAATTTGACATAAGCCTAACACAGTGGGTCATTGGATCAGGTAATAAGAGCATGAAGAGGAATAGCATTTTCATTTCTGCTAACCATGCACATGTTATGTATAAAAGTAAGATGTCCCCAAAAAAAGTATGCACTCCAAAGTTAACATAAGAAAAAGATAAAAAAGATATTAAAGTGTGGAGTTGTGATTGGTTCAATTTTCAATGAACTTATATTTTAATATAATTATATACATACATAATAATTAAGATAAAAATTTATTATTTTTGTGACCATAATCCCAATTTGAATTCTTACTTCTCAAAAGGAGAGTTAAATTTCTGCTAAAATAGTCAAAATGGTGATCACAGTAACTCAAATATAAGAAATTATACTCTAATTATATATATATATATATATTAGCAATTAAAAATAATGTAAAGACTAAAGAGAACTGGAAAGCAGTAGGTTTACTATTTTTCTTTTTAGCTACCTAATAAATAAAAGAAAACTAATAGTTTGGTCTTGATGTTGAAACCTCCCTTTCTCTGTCTTTTTTTTTTTTTCTCCCTTCCCCATCAATTATTGCCTTTGAACAATTATGAAATGATACTTTTTGGGGGTGTAGGGCTATATCCTAACTTGACTTACAAGATAAAAATATAAGGGGCTAGAAGGAGGATATTATTATAAAATTACAATTTCAATACAACCTTATTGGACACTTCCTAGATCTTTTTAGTTTTTGTGTATGGGGTTAAAGGAGAACATGTAATCTTGATAACGTAAAGGAAAGAATTTTTCAAGTGGGGCAAACCTAGCAAGAACTATATCAACAAGCATAAACCCACGTGGTAACAGTATACTGTTCCATTGATCAGCCACTCTAAATGTTTTCTCAAAATGAAAGTTCCTTGAGCAGAAGGAGACAATACACAACAAAACATAATCCCGTAATCGGTATTTACTGACTACAAAAATTGTATAACTTGCCTGTAAAATAGACTTCTGTACCTCCATTACACAACATACTTGTTCTGCTCCAACTTTTCGATCTACAAGCAAAACCTCATTAAATAAGATAGTGTTTGGTGCCAATTCAAAACAGAAAGCACATAACAGAAAGGAGCGGATAAAATAAGAATAATGCTATCTTTTATGATTAGAGAATTCAAGTGAACAAATTTGTGTTATTTGATGTTTAATAAAATATTGAATATGAACAAAATAATGTATAGTAGACAAGATATTTTCACTAATATTTTTTTCCATATATTTTTATGTTCCTTGGATAACACCCAAAAAATAAAAAGAATTTGTATAAAAATAACCTAAGAGACAAGCTTCTTATTACTTCAAGAGTCTCTTGAGCTTGGTTTATCCAGTCTGGTGCCAAAAGACATATTTGTCTTCCTTAGAAACCCCTCGAGAACAAAGGTTTCTTCAATCATATCTAGAGATGGCCTTTCAAAGGGGTGCTTGCTGGCAGGAGACAGTTTTAAAGAAGAGCGATTGTCTGTAACTAGTTGTGTCAGACAATGAAACTTGGCTATCAATTTCAAAGTTCATGCACCCAATTTTATTTTTGAAGGACTTGATATAGAAAAAATCTTTGGCAGGTTAGGTTTATAATTTTAAAGGCCATGTCTTGGCGCTGACAATGCCTACTTTATGGATGCTTATCACATGGCTTGGATCTTTAGATGTACGAGATATGGGACCTGTTCCTTCTCATTGTTGCAGGATAATCAAAGGCTTCTACCTCTATCAAAGAAACTACACGGTCTCACAAATCTTATTAATAGTGTAATTAACACTTTTAATAATCGGGTATAGTATTATATTTTCATTAATAATTTGATAAAAATCAAAGTCGACTAATAAAATTTGGGGGGTAAAATTTTTATCAAACTATTAAGCCAAATGGAAAACCATATCAGCTTGTACTCCTAACAAAATTAATTTTCAGTGCCCAAAGCCTGTTCGCCTAGTGGCATCATGCTCCTTTATTGGAGTTCAAGTGTGGCTTGAACATTCACCTCTTGCAATAGGCCTTTCGAGAAGAAAAGGAAAAATTGATCAAGATCATCAATGAGAAAGGTTAGGAATTCAAACACTCCACTATATTTACAGGCTACAAAATAAAAATAAAGTGCTATGCATGGTTTCTTCATTTTTTATTCTAATCTTTTACCTTAGTCAATAGAATATAATCTCACTTTGAATTCCATTAAATAGGGATTTATAATTCCTAAATTGGGTAGATGACTATGCAAGAATCAGAAATCCACCTTTCTTAAGTTGAAAATAATAATATACGTTCTAACCTTATGGCATTAAAGCAGTACAAACTCAAAATACAAAACCAGTACCAGTTTGGGCTATGACATCGAAAATTCTCTTCTTCTGTCAAGTTTATGAATTTCTGTCATATTTATATGAATTATAACTATCACAAACAAATAAAGCCTACTGAGTAAAATAGTTGAGCAAGTAGTATAGAACATAAAAAAAAGGGTAGTATGGGTTACCATCAACGATTGATCCTTCCAGTGCCTCCAATTTTTTAAACTTATTACGTCCAAAAGTTCTTTTCATTTCTTTAAATTACTAATCCTGCTTCTCCAAACGCAAGGAATGACCTACCAAAATATACAGTAGTTAGTGGTGCACAGGATGGGGACATGGTCCAAAATGCGGCAAATCAGCAAAAAGTCTTCAATAAGGCCTGCCGGGTGGGTTTCCATAAGGTGGACCTGGAAATGCAAAAAGCAGCAAAAATAAAGCACCAGAATCAAGGGTGCAGGAAATGACGATTGATTTGGAAACTAGAAAAGATATCGAGCAACAAGAGATAGATAGTATATTTTCATGAAAAGATGACATGATCATATAGCAGCTGGGAAGTGAACCTCTTGAATGTTTTAGACCATATTTTTATGGCCTGAAAGAAAAATGAAATATTTTAAAGCTGCGACTGAAAATCAGAACAAATAAGAATCATTACCATATCTAGTTGGTCGAGGAGGGGGCAGATACGTGGGAAGCCTTTGAGCATGCTGATCAATATGTGGACTTCCAATAGCCCTAAATTGTCCTCTAAGAGGGTCTTGTGAGTAGGTAGAAGCCCTTGAACTTCCAACTGGAGAAGGCACAACTATACCTTCTCTGTAGAAGTCAACAGAACCATCAGGAAAGGCACTGTTGCCAACAATATCTGGCCTGCCATATGGTCGACGGATTCCATTCACTGCATCATAATCTGAAGAGTAACCAATATTGCCCCTCAGAACAAAACCATCTTCAATCCTTTCAGAAACGCCATATGGTGCAGAAGTTATAGGTCTTGTAGGGTTTTCATAAGCTTGAAATGGTCTATCATATGGCTTTCTCCCATGATATGCTGAATTCAACTGTAGCATTTAACAAAATGGGAACAACTTGAGAAAACTTAATTATTAAAGAAAGCCAAATTGGAAAGCAATGTAACAGCCAAAAACAAGTATCTGAAGCTAACTGCAGTATGGCATTCTAGCAGAGAAAACATAGAGCTGAGGACCCAAGTATCAAAAGACAAACAGGATGGATCACTTACTCGATTCTGCATTTGATAAAAATCTGGTTCACCCAAAGTTGGAAGTCTAGTTGGATGAAAATGCTGAGAATTTTGACCAGCAACTGATCAAGCGGAGACATGACCAAAATCAACATCACTGACTAAAGAATAATAAATCATCCAAGCATGCAGAGCAAACTTTTCGAGAAAAGTTCAATGGCTAGGGAGTAAACCTGATGGAATTCCTTGATTGTGCATGGAATCCCTGGTGTAGGACTCAACTGAGCTGTCACGAGAATAAGTTCTGGAGCCTAACAGACTCTTCATATCATCCAAATACCTTTGTGACTCTCCTCTATTGCATTCACTAAAAATAACCTTTGAAAAGTCACCAACACATTAGCTAGTTTGTCATATGAGAGGATGAAGTTTGAAGCATCAATTCATGAACAGGCACCTGGTCAAAAAACTCATCTGAGCCAGGCATATCTCTGCTCAGAGGCAAAACAAAATTGGCTGCCAGACATGGTGTACACAACAACAAAGATTACAGGTTAGGAAGATCATGGTAACTAGAGCAATTATGCCACAAAAAGCAAAACAGTGTCATCCACTACCTAACATATTATCTATCGCTTCGGCTGGTACCTCCTTTCCCATCTCTTTAAATCTTTTATCAGCACGATATTTCAAGACCTCAGGCTTTGGGAATACCACAACAGCAATCTGAATTTCAAGTATGTCAAATATTCAAAAAAACATTCAATAAGATTATCTATTCAACAAATTTCTTAGTGACAGCGAATGTCACTGTAACCACCTTCCTAAAATTTGCAAACGGTCTTAGTTTACGTTTCC